CCCCAAAACCCCAAAACCCCAAAACCCCATAAGACTAAAATATCCGCATTTAAGCAATAATTTTAAATTATTTCAATATCAAATATTCTATTTATTTTTTTGAGATATCCACTTATCTAGTCCGAATTCTTTCAAGAAATTAAGAGAATTTATTGATGCACCGCAGAATTTTTGATTTGGCAAAAAGATTTATTTTTTCGTTTTTTAAGATTGATAATCTATAGTACTATCTTCGTTTCTAATCCAAGTTTTAACTTTATATATTGGTGCTATTTGAATTTCAAATACTCTTGCTCCATGTTTAAGATCACTAGGACCATAATGCATATAACCTGTTTTTCTACCATATGCAAGATTTAAGCCTTAGTATTATCCATAATAATCATTATTATGATCGTGACCACAAGTTATCCAGTCAACAGTTTTATAGTCTTGAATCACTTTGAACATTCCGGTATCTACTTCTTGGCAGCAAACCCACTCACCAAATAATCCATAGTACTCATTTTCGTTGACTAAGCTCATATATTGCTAAAGTGGTATATGAAATAACATCATCCCCTTACCTTTACTTGGGTCTGTGTTGGAAATCTTGGTACTTTCCTATTTTACCCAATTAATCTAATCCTATCTAAAACAATCATATCCCTCTGTATCAAGGCAATCATCAGCCCCCGAATCTAAAAACCAGAGTCTGTAAGCTATATTCTTTCCATTATGATCATAAATAGGTAGTATATAATTAAAGTCTAAATGGAAATCACCTGCTGGTGGTAATGTTTAGCTTAACATATAACTCCTATCTAAAGCTGAAATTCTAACTTGATCTAAATCTCCTTCAATATCATGATTACCAGTTGTTATTGCCCAAGGTATATTCAAATCAATCATTGGTTATACAAATTTAGAGTATTTTGAAGCATACCATCCTGGTACTTAAGCTTCTGAGCAAGAAGCGAAGACATTATCTCCAGTTGATACCACAAGATCAGGATTTTCATCTTTAAGGATTTACCTCATTACTTATTAAGTCAAAAGATCTGCAAGTTAATCGTTATAATAATAAATAAAATATACCCTAATTTTCAAGTACTCCAAAGTGAGTATCAGTGAATTACACAATTTTGAATTTTCCTTCAGAATTGAACTTCAAAATTTAGAACGAACTTTCAATTATGATAATCAAAAGCAATATTTGTATTTTAGTTTTCATTATAAATAATAGGTTTTTAAATAAATTTAATTCATAGTAAATTTAATCTGATGGTATTAGCCATATTTATTTTCAATTACTTATGAAATTATCAAATTTCTATTTTATGGGGTTTTGGGGTTTTGGGG